CCCATACTCATTATCTAAGCGTAGCAACTATCCGCTGCAACTACAGCGCATGCCTAAGCTATCTAAACTTCCTACCTGCGCATGGCACCGGAATTCCGCCCTGAAAGGAATGCCCTTGAAGGAGGTAACCCATCATGCCCTTAACTTAACAACCTAGTGCATGTTGCACCTACGGGCGACCTCCAACCGGGGTGGGTTGAACTACTCATGCATTATAGGGGATCCATGCAGGAGTGCCTTAATAGTCAATGTAGAAAGCCGTTCATGAAATTGGCCAACTACAACGACTGCATGCTCTTACCGTACTAGGGAGAGATATTTTTCTTTCCACCAAAACCACGATCTTCCCTTGGTCTTCAATAGGCCTTGCTCGCTTGATCCAGTCTTCAAAGGTCTTCTTACAGATGCTATTTGCATCCTCTACGCTAAGGTACCATTTGTACCCACTAACCCCAAGTTGAAGTTGCCTTCCTTGGGCCAAACTTCACTTGCATTTCCGATTCTAAGCTATGGTCCTGCCTATCCTTCTGCGAGGCAACAACCGCTGCGATCATGCGTAGCTCCTTAAAGCAGTATATTCACACAGAGGTTTTCGAAGGTAAATTATATAGAACAACACAATTGTTGCATGCCAGTCACAGACTTAAATAGTTGATACAAATTCACGCTTACTAAGACACAAATTTTAAAAGAATTAAAGCAGCACCGATAAACACTATTGGATTATTTTAACCAAAAGAACACTTTTATTACCTCTTAATCAAGACTATTTTTGAAAATGCAGATGTAAATTTCTTTAAATATATATATTTGCATTCCTGCATTAAAAAATAGCCTTACAGTGGAATATACTGAACACCAGGATTTGTTGTGGCTATTGCCCGAATTATATTAGAGATTTGACCTGTTAACAGGCCTAACTAAATAAAAGGTTTATTATTATTACACTTACGGTTTTCGACGAATCCTTGGCAGTTCGACGACAGACTACGATGAATGACAAATCTCATGCCAATTGTGAAGATGAAACGATCGGATGTTGAGCAAGGACAGCCACAAAAAGCCCAAAATAATTTTTGAAAATTCAGAACGTTGATGGTGAAACAATCGTATCCAATTTTCAGGCTACCTGACAAACATCACCGCTTTTATGTCGACGACGGCAAGCACAGAAACAAGATTGGCCATTTCTTGCAACTGTGCATGTCGTCTACGGCATTAAATCGGTAATATCGACAGCCAGTCGGAAAATTAGGATTTTAGGTTTTATTTTCATGTTAAAGAAATTCCATGTTTTATTACAAAATTTTCAATTAAATAATGTTGAAATTTGGGCATTTGATAGCGGCGTGGTTTTATCCATCATTGTGATTGATTGACCAGTCGTGATGTTAGCAGGAAAACTCCCAGGAAAATGTTTTAGAAAAGGTCATAATTTTGACTTTTCCATGGAAACAGGCGTTAGGCTGATGGATGCATTGCTCCAGAAGAGTGTTTAGCGTTTGCATTCTTTGTATAGATGGTCTTTAGGGCATTAGAAGTCACGTATTTTTCAATTTCATCAAAGTATATTGTTCATTCTTGATCAGCGTTCAGAAGAGTTCATTAAAGTATATTGTTCATTCTTGATCATTCTTCAGAGGACTCGTTAAAGTATACTGCCCATTCTTGATCATCGTACAGAGGTCTTCAATAAAGTAAATTGTTCATTCTTGAGCATTCTTCAGAGCACTTCATTAAAGTATGCTGTTCATTCTTGATCATTGTTCAGAGGATTTCATTAAAGTGCGTATATTGTCCATTCTTGATCAGAAGGTTTCTACATAGGACAATTGAAGCCAATGTCAGTTCACACTACTATACTTCCATAAATAAAAAACATTGATAACATACTTACATTGAACATTTTATTCACTAGTAATGTAGCTCAAGGGAAGAAGAATTTCAACCAAATTACAGAATTGTATTTTGTTCTTATGTTTAGATGAGCGTCGAGGAACTGGTCGACAACAGCCACAATTCTCTTCTACCGCTGTGAACAATAACCACTTTCTTTAATTGTGGAGTCTACGATCATGGTAAATACACCAACATTTGTTCGTTGTTTCTCAATCTCATTTGATGACTAATTGTCGTTTAAGAGAAGAATGTCCATGTCTAAAATCAAGCATAGAGGAAACAAAAGTTACTAAGACGGAAACTTTATGGAAGGCCACACTGCACTTTGCATTAATGAACATCACATGTAGTGTCCCAATTCAATGTTTACTCAATGCAAAAAACTTGAAACAAGACATTTACCTGAACATTTTTCAAAGCACTCCAAGAGATATTTCACCGTGGAATAATTTCGACTTCGGCTAACTATTCTTCGTGCAACTACAGACTTTCACGTTCAAATGGCACGTTCTTAGTCTTAGACTATGGCCCAAGTTTCACGAACGTGTTGTATTCTGATTGGTCATTTACCAGGTGTGTCGTCAATTGTACATTGTGAAATTTAGAATTTGCATGATTCATCACTTAGAGGCAATTAATCCCCATAGAGAGGTAAATGCAATTTAATACAATATAAATAAAAACGTATACTTCAGCTACAGCAAATAGCAAATCCCAAACATTTAAGTCTCCTTGGGGAACAACTACAGCTGAATCATGCAAATTCTAAAGGTCCACTGATGTCAAAAATGATTTGATAAACCCTCTAGATCAGGGGTTCTTAACCTTTTGTTGGTCACGGACCCCCAAAACATTCTAATGAAAGCTTTGGACCCCTTTAGAAGAAACACATCGCAATTGTCAAAATTAGCTTTTAATTAACTTAGTAATATAGTCCAGAAATTTGCAGACCAAACAGAAGCAAATTAATAATTCAACGAATAATAATGAATAATAAATCAATTACCGAGTCAATTAAGTTATACAACAATTACAAAACCATAAAGAATCAAAAAATACAGTGCAGTAACCAATAAGTCAGGGGTTCTTAACCTTTTGTTGGTCATTATTCCGTCCAAAGATTTGTGAGCATATATTTCGAACGATCATTAAACGATGTTGCTTTTTTAGGTTCTAATCGGTCAATAGAAATACGTAGCCTACTGTAGATATTCTTATTTGGATTTGCGGACCCCTTAAAGCACCATCATGGACCCCTTAGGGGTTCATGGACCCCAGGTTAAGAACCCCTGCTCTAGATTGTTATCTTCATCTCATTTTCTTATTGTATTTATTGCATTAACATTTGATCTCTTTTAATTAGCATTCTATCAGGTGTACATAAAAACGACGTTTGGCAATTAAACTACTGTTAAAATTTCGAAACCCAATCACTGTGCTAACCTCACTATCGCATTACATTTTCAATGGAGGAAAATATTTTGTGCTTGCATCAACGTAGCTAACAATGTTCCAGGTTGTTAGGTCTTCAATGGTATGGTAAACGAAGGCTGACCAACTACTTTTGCACACATCAAAAGAGTGAACCGGATAGAAAATTATTATTACAACGTATTTTTTTTATTTTATTGTTCAACTATTAGCCGGCATTATATGTTGTCCCTTTTAAAGAATTTTCAATCTCCATGCGACAATGTGAAAGTGTGTAAAATGAAAGACTATTTTCTTTGGTGTGAAAGTGTGTAAAAATGCAAAGACTATAGTCGACGGCAATGTATGCAGTTGATTACTTTCATAAACTTACCTTTAGTTTTAGGGACTATTTATATGAGTCCGATAGACCGGGATTCATTGAACGAACATGTAACATGTAACATGTTCTTACAAAAACTTTTGGCAGTTATTTCAGTAAACAGTAAAGATAGAAACGATGGACAAAAAAGCAGTTAATATTGGAGGCAACAATTCGCCAAGAGAAAGCCGACATTGTGCAACGAAAATTTCCGCAATGCCATTCTGTAACGGTCGTCATTTTGTTAACGTCTTTTCTGAGTTCTTGAACGACTTTTTCAAAGAGCTTAGCAAAAAGTAATCATGTATTTAACGTAAAGATCTTTGATAAACCAGCAATTGTTAAACCTCCGGTAAAAAAACCACCATGTACAACAAAAACTTCGGCAATGCCATGTTTCTTCGTCAACATCTTTTCTGACTTCTTGAAAGACTTTTCCCGACAGCTTCGAAAAATGAATGAGGAATGAAGTATAAAGTTTGAGTGAGGAAGAAGCAGCTGATATTTTAGGGTAAAACTGATATAAATTTTTGTAAAAAAAACGTAACTCTTCAACGGCCATTTTCGTTTTTTCGAGTTTGGAAACGACTTTTTGCAACAGCTTCAAAGAAAGAATCATGTATTCAACAGGTTTAACTTGTTGTGATGTTATAAAATATTGTGAAAATGGATTTGCAAGGCGGAAAGCGAATTCTTAGTATAAATATAATTGCCCATCATAAAACTTTTAATATGGCCATGGGTATATAATTTTATCAACAATAACGTTTCGTCTTTAGCTGAAGACATCTTCATATTACAATACATACATGTAGGAAGTAGTAAATCCTATTCTTAGAAATTTTGTACAATACTTACAATAACGACTGTATGCGTTACGCTTCTTCTCTGAAATAAAAAGGTTATATTACTCACTGTAATACTTTGAAACTTACAAATGAAATATTTTACGTAATACTTACGATAAAGATTGTTTCAGCAAGAAATCTCTTTACACATAGCGCGGGAAAGATCGGCAAAAAGTCATATGACGTATTGATCAAAATTGGTCACGTGTCAAGTCGTATAAACATTCGCCAGCAAGAGCTGGGTGACGCGGGATATGTAAATTGATCAAATCGTGCTGAGATAGCACAACATTTAATAGCATAGTAGGTTTCGTGTGATGTATTTAATATACGATTGTTTTCATTTCATGTTAAATATTATGTTTTAACTTGTTAAAACCCAGTATGATGTACTATTATATAGTAGCAAATACTGACAAATTATATCTGTATACAACACATACAATAAAGAGTCGTTGAAGTTGATGCATCAGGAAATTCTTCTACTTTGTAGACATATTATATTTATATATACTGAACTATACGTATGTTATATATATACAATATAACTTATACAATTTCTATGCTCTGTTTTTTTTCGACAGACATCCTACAAGTTTTACCTTTTAACCATTATGTGTAGAAGGAACAGTTTGTTTTGTCGTTGTCGTCGTTGAAACAGATGATACCGTTGAAGTTTGCCTGTAAAATATTTGCTGAAAGTTTAGAGAAAAATTGATAAACTATTCATGAAATAATAGGTAGTAGCATTTTGATTTTCTTTCTAAAACAAGCCAAAGTTTGAGTTCTTTGTGTTGTATTATTACGAAATAAAAGATTTTTACTGTGTTTGCACGGGCTTATGCAAACCGAGGAGACCTTTAGAAGAACTCGAGAGCAGATCAGTGCAAGCCCGAAACCGAAGGTAGAGTGTTGCACATGCTCAAGAGTTCTCACAAACGTCTCCGAGGTTTGCATAAGCCAGTGCAAACAGAAAATATCTTTTAAAAATATCAATAATGCGAAACAGACAAATTTAAAACAAACGTTTTAATTTTTCCTCTAAAATGTATTCATGATTGATTTGCGAATTCTCTTTGATTGATTTGATTTGTTGAGCTCAGATCGGTTTGCACAAGCTAATGAAAACACAGCTATAGACCAATCAGCGCATGCGCTTGATTGCTTTATGTTCTTGTTTTGACTTTCAATTTTTTCTGTCTATTCTTGCCTTACAAACATTAACACTGAAAAATCGTTTAATATTCTGTATATTGAACAATAAATTACACTCATACAAGATCACGTGTTTACTCACATGAAAAAGATCACGTGTTTACTCACATGAAAAAGATCACGTGTTTACTCACATGAAAAAGATCACGTGTTTAATCACATGAAAAAGATCACGTGTTTACTCACATGAAAAGATCACGTGTTTACTCACATGAAAAATGGAAAGTATTTGAACAAAGAACTCTTGCAAGGATTTTCACCTAACTCTGGAACAGCACCCAGACTATAATTGATCAATTTTCTCAAGTAATTTTCCAATTGTTTTCGACGTGTTTCCACAAAATTGACGTCACGATTTCCAATAATTTTCTTCGCGGGAAACGTGAATTGTGCAACAGGTTTAAACTGCTTGCTTGTCTGTGCATAAAAGGAAAAGGAAGGGATTGTACATTACGGCAAAACAATATGATTAAAAATTAAAATACTGATGTTTATTAAAAACCTTCTTATGTAGGGCATAAAAATCCGAGTATCTTTTGTAAACATTCCATTCATCGTCTTTGATACGGATATAAACCTTGTAAAGTAAACAATGTTAAATTCTTTATTGACGACAATAACTGGACCCCTCAGCAGATAATATACATATATATAGGAAGTTTATATTTGATGACTCTCCGTATAAAACAGTGCTCGATGCCCGAGAGCAGAGCGTAAATATGTTTAGTGGTGTTGAGAAAAAATCACAAAACTACAGTTTCATCCCGACAAGCCTGTTTCGTGATTAAAGGAAAATCCCCTGAAGAGTGAGCAGTCACGAAACAGGCTTGTCAGGATGAATCGGTAGTTTTATGATTTTTTCTCAACACCACTAAACATATACATATGAAAAGTAAAATATTTGAGCAGAAAATTAAAACTACGACATGATCTTTTAAATACGATGACCACAAACACTTTTCTCAAGGGTGATGTATTTATCCCTAGTTATCCCTAACCTAGTCCAGATAACCATCAACATCACATCGGAAGAGTTATTTACGTTTTTAGAGATAAATATATGGAAAAATTATACCTGATAAGAATGGTGAATGTTTGGAGACTTTCCTTGTACAAAAACAGATGGAATCCAAATGTTAATTAAAGGACGAGTATTGACAGACATGAAATTTGGACCAAACTCCGTCAAATATAAACATTCATCATGATTATTGTCCTGAGGAAGCTAGAACATACGAAGATACGTAGTTTTATGTAGAAATATTTAGAAAATGAAAAGAATATTTACTGCTCTTCATGTTCATACCAAACAGTTCATATTGTACATTCAGATCAATATTGTACATCTATTGTACTATAATGAACACACGGGTCTTTACTGAACATACCGGTCCTCTAAGATTGACAAGCTCTTCTTTCAATTTTCTTAGCTGACATTCACGAGCATTCAACATTTTTTGTAGTCTTTCATTGAGTTCAATAAGTTCGCCATGCATATCAGCGACCTTTAAACATGATAAACAACATTTCATCACAACTTACGCCATGACGTCATCACCATGAAATTCCCCAGAGATGAACAAGAAACGCGAAATCAGTCAGAATGGCGAGTTTTTTTAAACATATATCACGATTTCATTTCAGTTATTTATCCTCAGTTTTCATAAGTTAAAATATCTTCTTGTATTAGATATTTCTTAAAGTCATAGTGTGCATCGTATAAAAACATTTTCTATCAGATAAATTTCGGCTCATCTTCATGTAGCACATGATACCTGAAGACCTTTTAAGGCAAATGTTTCGTTTTGTAAAAGTTTTATGGTTTAATGGAAATCTTACTTGGATCAACTTCCGCTCAAAATCTTTGTTTTCTTCCTTTCTACAAGAAAAGGGAACGAAATTCAACGCCGTTGTTTCACTTTTGCTACAAATTTACGGTAAATACCTCACTTCGTCGACGTCAGATTCCGAAGAAAGAATGATAGAAGAAAGTCTTCCATTTTCTGGAACTACACAAAAGATTATCGAATATCTTAGACTTCTACATCTATTTTAAAGATAAACTATCCCTCTAGTAAACCTTCTTCCATAATGTCATTTCTTTTCAACGATTGAACAGCACCTACGTATTTCTTTAGTTGGTGTTTGAGCAAATCATTTTCACTAAAGAGCAAAAACGAACAGGTCAACAGACATCTTTGATTAACGGAAATGCAGAGTTCTCAATGTCCTAACCTTTTAAGCCGTTAAGAGCGACGCAATTTTCTTCATTTTTCGACGACATATCTCTTTTAAATCTTCTAATTGAAGACGAAGAGAAGCTGACTTCATCATCTCTTTTCCAAATGTTGTTGTAACGATCTACAGGAAAGATGATCGAAGGAAAAATCAGGGCAAAATAGTGTATATTCGAATGGAATGTTAATATTAAACGAAGGACGATAATACAACCTGTTACGTTCTTCAACTTCATCTTTTCTTAACATCATCGATACAATCGCCTGTTTTAATTCCTCTTCAACAATAAAACCACGTATTTATTGATATTCATGAAATTATAATTATTCACACATACAAATATTCAGTTCACATGATGAAATTTGACGGATGTCTCCAAACAAGCAAAGCAACTACGATACAAATAGTAAAATCCAATTGCACTAAATATTTCTATATTTAAAACTAACTCTACCTGCTAATAGCCCATTTATAGTTTGAGAACCTGAGGCAAAAGTGCCTCTCCGTTCCGAAAACATTTTTCAAAAGATATAAGAAATAAAAACCATTTAAATACATGAATAGAAAAAACACACAAACCTGAAGTCATTTCTTTGCCTGATGGATATTCCTCTGATGGCTAAAGAACGAAAACATACCAAATATAACGAACTAAATATAACAAAGATATTTACACATGGCTTTCTACCCTCCCTCCCCAAAAAGATAAAAGCATTTCATAATTAACTAACATTCATACAACCATCACCCATGGTTCTGACCAATGACGATCCTGAGTAATCATTAATTTCTATGCTACCATCACGTGTGGCACATATCGCTGCAACAGTTGCTCCAATTGCTAAACTTGCATCATTCTCGACGTCTTCATCAGTGTAAATACTGAAAACAACATAAATTACCACCTCAGTTAAAATGGTGAACTCGTTAGACATTCTTGTCGATAAAATAATGAAGTATCTTCTAACCTTGAAACGGGCGAATCATTTATTGAATGAACTAAATGTCGCGACGTCTCAGGTGCAACAGTAAATCGCTCATTTTCATCTGACATAGCTAGACTCCTAACTCCTTTATCGTCATCGGGGCAAACTACGGGAATTAGAGATACACCGCTGTTCATATCAACAAGAGGCTCACACTTCTTCCTCCGACAAGAGCGATGAGTCAGTGTAATGCCCTGATTGCAAAGATGTTGTCAAAGAATGATTTTTTTTCAAATCATTCGCAGTTTTAAACTCGTCTTTAAGATGCAGAACTTCCTGGCTTTTCTTTGTTAATCGAGCCACTTGTTCATCTGTTTCATTCTCCTTGTTCTCAACGTTGGTTTTCGCCATTGTGGAAGAAAGACTTGAATTCTCAGAATTCGAACAATAAGCCAACTGAGAGTTCTTTGGCATTTCAAGAAAATCGTCAGGCCTTTTAGTGAAAGCATGGTTACCACGAGCATGTACCTGAGAATCAGTATTACGTTGTAATATATCGTATGCCGCTCGGGTGAAACTCGTGGCACTATCGTGAGCAGTCGTTGTTGTGGAAAAACTATCATGAGAACTGACAGTAGAAGTTCCTTTTTCCGTCTCTTTGAATTCAACATTTTCAATTTGAGCAATGTTTGCTTTCTTTTTTTTACGTTTTTTCTTTTCTTTTCCTGAAACACAAAAGAAAGATAAAAGTTAAAAATTAATGACTACGCATTGTTCAAGTATGATAAAGAATAAATGAGGACGCGCGGTTAAGGGATGATAAGGGATGATAAGGGATGAATAAACAACAGGTATAGTTAAGGGATAAATGAAGACATGTAATTATGGGATAATAAAGGTTAAGGAGAACGCATGGTTGGGGGATTACAAGGAATAAATGACATGTGTGGTTAAGGAATGATAAGTTTAGCGATATATGAGATGAGTGGTAGGGATAATTAGGGATAAAAGGGATATTTTTGATCAGGGGAGAAAAATGAAATTCCGATCAAATCTTTATTTTCTTAAAATATTGTATTTAACAAACTTCACCAAGAACTCCTGACGTTGCATACATTGGTGATGGTACAGCCCATATTGATGTTGGACGAGAAACTGCTTGGCTGATATTGCCCGGAATCTAAAAATTAAATTAAATTCAAGTAGTTAAAGAAAAGTACATTCATAGCTTCCACTTTTTTACTATCCATTTCTATTTGCAAAGATTCATTTTCAAACAATATCAATAGCATTCCAGCATACCTGTACAGTAATAGAGTTAAACTCAGCTTTGTCAATGTCAATTGCAAAAAGAATTGAACTTAAGCCTTAAAGAAGAAACATGGAATGATAAAAAATCCATTATAGAAATATAAACAAGTTTATTCTTACCAGCAGCCATCATTGGTAACATACTAGATCGTTCATCATCCAATAATAATGCATCTTGCTCATAATACTGACTGAAATTAAAACAATTACACATCATATAATTATTCTGACATCAACAGCTTACCGTTAAAAGAAAATTGCATTACTATATCGCATTATACATTGGTTATGATAATCATATAGCTTATCAAGCCAAGATTGATCTTTCTTTCTTAAATGTTACTTAAATCAAACTTACAAAAGCAATTGTTTATGCCCAATGAAGCTATGAAGATATTTCTCCAGTGATTGCTCGTTTAAACTAGACCTAAGCCATGCTTGAGCTGTCAAATAAACATCAAAAATAGAAAGAAAAATGTCAGAACAAATTCATGGCATACAAAAAGGTTTTACCCACAAACATTCCTGGAATCATTTAGAAACCAACAACTTGACCAACCTCTACCAACATCTGTCATTACATTATGTAAAGAATTATATGTCTTTATTTCACTAGAGTTAAGATGTTCCTTGATAAATAGCCAGAACACAGATTGACCTTCAGATCTCATTAACACCTGCCTTTAATGAACATAGTAATGATGAAAACAAATTATTTAAGAATGGCTTTTAAATTGACTGAATTGAGAGAGGAATGATGAAGATACCTTAAAGAATTTACTTTTTTGTGGATTTAATGCCAAATTGAAGAACAATGTTCCATTGCTCACAAAGACAAGAGATTCTGTAAGGTGGTTAATAACTGGTCATGATAGGTGGTTAATAACTGGTGGTTAATAACTGGTGGTTAACATTGGTGGTTAACATTGGTGGTTAACATTATGATGGTTATACAAGTCATTTAATTCAATGAAAGCAAGTAAAGTTTTCTTACATTTCTGATAACAGGATCATCAGTCATTGTGACTTTATGGAAAATCCTGTTTTGCAAGGCAAGTGGGACTTCATTCTTAATGTTGACACGATCATAAGCCTTGTCATAATATTCCAGTTCACCACATTTTACCCTATTTAACAAAGCACAGAAATGGAGAGATCATCATAAACACATAAAAACAAGATATTCATTAGTATCTATTCAGAATAGATGTTAAAATTGCTTTCATTTGTTTAGCAAATTCAAAGAAGGTTTTATACAACAGTGAATTCTGATACAACATACAAATCATCTGGATCAAGAACATTTGGTAGACTCAATTTTGATAATCTTGGAAAATCCATTTCTTCAATAACCTTCCACTCTTCCGAACCATCACAGATGCACGTATCCTCTGAGGAGTCTACATATAAGTTAAATATATAGATATAAAATTACAGTATATCCATAAGTGTACCTGTCATGTTTATATATTTATTATGTATCCTCTGAGGAGTCTACATATAAGTTAAATATATAGATATAAAATTACAATATATCCATTAGTGTACCAGTCATGTTACTATATATTTATTGTATCCTGAGGAGTCTACATATAAGTTAAATATATAGATATAAAATTACAGTATATCCATAAGTGTACCTGTCATGTTACTATATATTTATTATGTATCCTCTGAGGAGTCTACATATAAGTTAAATATATAGATATAAAATTACAGTATATCCATAAGTGTACCTGTCATGTTACTATATATTTATTATGTATCCTCTGAGGAGTCTACATATAAGTTAAATATATAGATATAAAATTACAGTATATCCATAAGTGTACCAGTCATGTTACTATATATTTATTCTGAGGAGTCTACATATAAGTTAAATATATAGATATAAAATTACAGTATATCCATAAGTGTACCAGTCTTGTTACTATATATTTATTATGTATCCTCTGAGGTGTTCATGGTTGAGGTACATCCGTTTGTGTACAAAAATATCTTATGCAAGTCGCATAATTACTATAAATTTATAATGTATCCTTTGGAGTTCAAAGTTTACATACATGTAACACACTATCACAATTCTTTTGTTCACTTTCTTCACTGAGGTTGCACCTTAAAACTTACCCTCCCTCCCCTCCCTCAACTAAGTTTATTTAAAACCTGATTTCTTCATTCTTGCCAGTTGTTTCTGTTGGCAAATTGTTTTTGTAATTTACAATGGAGTCTGTTGTCACAAATCTTCAGCAAATTCTGCATCCCAGCTTGCTGACATTGCATTTGATGCTCTTTATCACGTCGATTATTCCTCTAAAAAATAAAAAATTTTATGTTATTGTTGTTCATATGAAAAGGAGTAATTTAGATGAAGAAATTTACAAATATGATAAAGAAGTGATTTTATTTTGAGACTTAAAAGTATAGAAAAGTTTCTATTGTACCTGATTGAATTTGTTCCTATTGCGCATGTAAACAGGCTTTTGTGATCGACTTGTGTCAACAAGATGGAAAGTTGATTCATCTTCTTCGTGATAATATGCATATTGATTACCACCACCAAATTGATTTAAGTATTTATCTATAGAAGTAAAACAATATGATTAAACTGCATGAAAATAGTGAAGTCTAGACAGAATACAAACTTTGGTATCAACCATCTTGATAGGCTGTACTTGACCAATCAGAAACCTACATAAAATGAAAATGTATGTTATAAGACCTATATTTATACAGTCAATACAAGAAATAATATTTTATTCTCTTAAAAGTGTAGAGTGGTTTTTAATGATGACTACATAACAATGTTTTACAATAATAGCTAGTAAAATATGATTATAAATTTCACCACGTGACACAAAAATATAAGAACAACTGAAGGTCAGAGTGGTAGACATTGATAGCAAGGAATTTCTTATGAAACATAAAATATTTTACCTTTCCAAGTTTATCTCCTTTAGAGAATGGATGATAAGGTATTCCTTTAAATGCATCTGAAACAGAGGTAGGAACCCAGCCGTTTGGGTTATCTTCAATGACACGAGGAATAAAATTAATTCGTTCAAACGCCATGTTGAATATTGACTAGTTTGCATGTTTCCATCAGTCAAAGGTAGAAACGTCATCATTGTTTGTTACCGACGACCATACCGACGACCCGATGACAATTAATACCAAGTTGTCGGAAATCATTTTCGGCATTGTTTTACTGAGAAAGCAAACGATTGCCTCAAAGCTGCTTAAATATTGTAATTTCTAACGATAAAATGAAACTTTGTAAGAAGTTGTCCTATTTTTCATCAAATTTCAATGTATCTTGAACAGTGATACTGTCGTCACAGAATAGACAACGTAATCGGTTAAAAAGTCACTGTTTTTTAGAGAATACGGATCCAGTCCATCACATAAGGAAGGCTTCTCTTGGTATCTTGACTTTGCCTTTGGTTGAAGAGATAAAAAGTACTCGGATACTAAATTGCTTCAAAATGTGTTTACGGATTTCAAGTGAAGGGCTAAACAACTAAGATGGCGGCCAATGCTACTATAACTAAGTCAACAGCAACAACGAAAAATTTAGTATCCGAGTACTTTTATCTCTTCAACTAAAGGCAAAGTCAAGATACCAAGAGAAGCTTTTATGTGATGGACTGGATCCATATTCTCTAAAAAAGAGTGACTTTTTAACCGATCATAACAATTTCCCTAACTTGCAGTTTCCTGACATTTCAAATTATTTGGTCGTTCAAGCTTCATTTTATACGAAGAAACAAATGAAAGAATATAAAAGTCTTGAAGCTTACAACTTTTTTGTTTGTGGTTGGGTCCATGAAGTAAAATCAAGACGTGTAATGGACAACAGCAATTGTCTTGTTTTTGCGAGAGTAAGTAATTTTTAGGAATTGCATACTACCCGAAGTCCTCGGGCAGCATTTTTCAAAGCCTCTACTCACTTCCCACCCTTCCAATTTCATATGATATATCTAAACTTAAAGATGGCATTATATTTATAACAAACATTGCTCTAGCCATCAAGTAGCAATAAATATATCAAAAGTTTTAGTTAAACAGATGAAGATGTTTATTAATAAAATAGATGGAGATGTTTCTTCCATGTTGCTCTCAAAGTTTTCAATTTTAGGGACTATTGTTTTACTCCACAGGGACTACAGATTGAGATAAATTAGTTAAAGCACAACATATGACTGCTATCTTATCAATTACTGATTGTACTTTGCCAGGTTTTTTGTACATGTACTCTATCAGAAGAGCACCACTTTGAAGAACTTGGTACTTTCTACGAACCAGTCCTATCACCCTTTCAACATGTATTCTTATATTTGCAATTTTTCAGGTCTCTTCCACTTCATATGGTGATAACTGTGTTTTCCCTTTTGTAAATGCTGGTGTTTTCAATGAAGCACAATAAAGCCCAACACTCTCCTCAATGTTAAAACCTCTATCAGCAAGAACAACATCTCCAGGTAATAAATTGTCCAAAATAGCTTCAGTTAATTGTTTGTCACTCACTCTTCCTCCCCAAGCACTTGAGATGAAGGTCACAACTCCTTGTGTAGCAATTCCGATCAAAAATTTTACAGTATTATGATGTTTATAATTAGACCATGTTTGGGAACGAGCTAATAAATTTGATGGTCGCTCAATGAAAACTTCAAAGCAGTCTAGTACAACAGCAACTTTGCATCCAAAGGACTTTCTAAAATCCATAGGCATAGTTGCCCACAATGTTTCTCTGCTTGGCCACTCCACAAGAAACTGGAGTCTTTGATGCATGATGGTAACAATTTTGTGAAAAATTCTTGATGCTGTGGAGCATGATACTCCAAACCTGTAAGCTAAATCCTGTAGTAGAAGATTTAATTTCAATCTCATCAGAACCAAAAGTATTTGCTCAAACTTTCCCGAAGAAGATCTTGTCGTATGTGTTATAAAGGGTTCACAAAGATTGAAAACTTGTTATAGTACCAGGAAGTTTGGCAGCCCAGTGTAAAACTTGGTCTTGTCATTATCCTTTTCAAAGCTTCTTCTACTGATTAGTGCTTCAAGGGCTTTCTCTTTAAGTGTGCATATTTCCTCGTTGCATCTCTTTATGTCTTCTTCCATTGACTTTAAATAGTTGACTGTTAGGTCTGTTTGGCACTCTACATATTGAACCTGTCTTTCAGTCTGGCATTCAGCATGGTTGATATTTGACTCTATTGAAGCAAAACTATGATTACAAAGTTTTTCGAAAAGCAAATATAAATATACTTTTACTTTGTTGTAAATATAAGTTATTTTCTCCTGGGTGTTCATGTTCTTGATGGACGTTAGACTCCAGTCGAGCCAGCTTTTGTAAATCAAGGAGGGCAACGGCTGCTTCGGAATGGCGTCGTTTAAGGTATCGCTTTTTGTTCCGATCGTTTCTTTTAATGGCACTTTCACGAATAGGTTTTAATTTCTGGTGACCCAATTTAAGTGTAGGAGCCCAATCAACGTCGTGTTCGTCGTAGACATTGCTTGGACGACCTTGGAAACAAAAAAATTATGAATGTAAACAATTATATTCATAGAGTCTATAGACATTTTGCAAGGCGCTTCAGTTCAAACTCTTTCGCAATTGCTTTTAATATTGAATCACAAAGTTCGTCTACGCACCTTTAACAAAATGTTCACCATTTACGCGAGCATGGGGGCTTTCGATACCTTTCGAGGACAATGAAAGGTTTCTGAGCCACTTTTCACGACGTCTTTTTGTTAGTTTTTTTAATGTTTCCCCTTTATGGAGAATTCCTTTCGGTATCCTATAATAGCCTTTATCCTTTTCTCGATTAGCTCGATTAGAGCAAGTAAAAACTGAACAGCAATCCGGCATATTTGAATAAAGAACACATGAAGGGCAATCACGCTTATGATATAATCTATTTACCTGCCCTTCAGCTGGAAATATGAATACGTAATGACAGTGGAAATACGGGAGGTGACGTCTATTGCAAACAAAGAATTCTGTGTCTTTGTTTTACATAACAATAAAGGCCCAAATTATTTGCCCCGTATCCACTCAAGCGACGCAGACATTTGACGCTTAACACTTCAGAACGTTGAAATTATCTGAAAGATTGAATGTTCAAAGCTCCAACCGTCGACCAGCAAAAGGTTTGTAAGACAAAAGATAAAGAATTATCATGTGTGTTTACGATGTATAAATGTGACCTTAAATACAAAATGTTTCTCATATTTAATTAATACATTTTTACTAAATATTAGTCCCACCTTAGTACTATGAAATATACACCATAGATACCCGTAGCAATTCGTAATCCTGTAATTGTGTACCAATCAAACGAAGTTGCAAATACAAACAATTTACTTACGAAAAATAATTACTGCGATCGAAAGGAAGGCCTGTTTATCGTTATGTGTTTGTTTGCCAAGGAATTCAAATTGCTTGCTAGCATGCAATTATATTCATCTTTGGGTCCGGACGGTATATTTATAAAATATGTGTTATTTCATTATACTTGTGATAGTATGAAGTGACATTTATGAATCAGGAGGAAAACTAAGTTTGAAATTGCAAATGGACTCATGCATGCCATCATTGATCTTTTAAATATTTAGTCGGATTTTTTTAAACATTTAGTCGTTTTGTAACGTTGCAATTATCTTTCGTCGAGCTGTTGACGCTAAGGTGATACATGCAAATTCATCGCATTAAATAATACAATACTGAAGATCTCTGATTTCCTATCAACTTGATAACCTTATAAGTACAGCTAGGCAATCAAACCTATGAGCACATGTGTGTAAAAGGAAGCATGCATATGTGACGTCATTCGTGTCACGTGTCCTAAGATATGACTATTACAACTTATTAATTCCTTTTAACACTCTCACTTAATAGTCATATTAACAAAACTAACAAATCTTCATGACACAAAATTAAAACTTATCATTGTTCTTTGACTTCAACTACTCCCAATAGCTTTGTAAAGTTTTGATATTAAACTTTTGAGAGTCTTTTGGTAATTAAATCACCAAACATGTCTTCTGTTTGGCAACACTTGAAAGAAATGATGTTATTTTTGAGGTGTTGTCACACATAGTGATACGACACATCTACATGGGTTGACCAAAAAAAAATGTTCCCGGAATGAAATATGAGTTTTGTTTATAAAATTCATGAATTTAAAAAAAAACTGTTCAGAAATAATCGTAATAAAAACAACATTTCTAGTAAACGACAATACTTAAGCGTTAATTTTCAAAAAAATGTGCATGTGCAGAAATGTCGACGGTCCTGCAACACTGAAATAATTCGTCATGTTTACATATTGCAACAAAAGTCAACACAAACATGAAGCAATTTTTAAAACCAACGCAACGTATACATGAAAATAAAGAAGTTGAATTGTTAAGAGTGACGAACAAGACACCGTCTACAGATATATCAGAATAAAAAAGGCGAAGGGATCATGAAATTCGATATATGCTAAATGCTGGAGTCAGTGTTTGTCATTAGGAAGTTGCAAAGAAGTTTCTACTAAGTTACTGTGAAGTAAAATACTGAGTTCAAAGTTGAGGTTAACTTGAGATTGTAATCACACCTCCTAGTGGTAGAAAAAAACAATAGACCACTGAGAGAAGGAATATCTTTGTTGCTAAAACCTTAAAGTTAGGTACCTATCAAAGATTTCTTTTTAAATCTTATAGTTCCAGATTTTAAATGCAGCATTTAGATAATCTTTGTAGCTTTGCAAATGTCTTTTGTTGCTGCAAAGGCTTATTTATGCAAAGTTTCGTCGTAATAAATAATCAAAAAACTGAAATTTTCTGATTTCCTCATCAATGTGATATTGAACATTGTTACATCATTCACAAATGACTACGCAAATTATTGAAATATATATTCATATGTCTGTTTTGTAACGTAAACTTTATATAAAATATCATGTTTTTTTAATTTTTCTAAAGGTTGTTTGACAGGATACTGCAGTTGGTAAAAGCTGTAGCATACATGCTCTCTGTCATTATTAGTTTTTAGGTTCTTTTGTAATTTTAAGACGATTTTTGTGAAGTTAAATCAATTAAAAATAAGTTTGATTTCGTCATCATGTAAATGCGACTTCAATGGAACCTAATAAGGGTTGTATAATATTTTTATTTGCTTGATTTTTATCTTGTTGATATATACCAAATTTTTGTACAGATGGAATCGTCAGGAATAAGAAATCTGTCTTACATTCAGCAAATAATTAACGTGGTGCAAAAGGAACTTGCTCAGTTCTTTATCAAAGAATGGAACTCTCGTTACGAATCAACTGATGGAGAATGGGATAATACACATACCAGTGGTAACAAATTTTACACTTTAGAATCAGGAAGAAAGTTAGACAAAAAACTCGACAAAAATATCAAGATGGAGACACCAGTAAGTGGGACTGTACGATATTATTTGATGCAATAATTTTTTCAAATTCAATTGGAAAGCATCTTGACAAAAAAACAAAGGATGCTGTTCATGCACTTCGTTGTGAAAGAAACAAGTACGCACATTGGTATGAAAGGGAGTGTTCAGATGATGATTTTGATGATATAGTCAACATCATTGAAAAATCATTTCAAGATTTGAAATTTTCTCTCGATGAAATCAATGAAATAAAAATCATCGAAACTGTTTTAATTCGTTCCAAGTTCTTCCTTCAAAATCTAATCATTTTTTTGTTGAACGCACTGAATTACGAGATAAAATTATAAAAGATCTTGAAAAATTAAGGAATGATAACAATGATAAACTGACATATTTTTACATCACTGGTAATCCTGGCAGTGGTAAATCACAACTTGCAAGACAGGTTTGTGAAAAATATCGTGTGATTGGAAAAATAGAACTTCGTTTGTAATGACTCTCGATGGAAAAAATGAGGAATCTCTTTTAAAGACTTACTGTGAACTTGGATACCGTTTAAACTGTGACAAGAATATGATTAAAAAATTTGAAGATGAAAATTGTTCCATCGCAGACAAAGTGAAGAATTTGAGATCGTTAGTATCCATACGATTAAAATTCTGGCAAAATTGGTTGATCATTGTAGACAACGTGGCACAGCTTAGCAAAATTTCTTCATTACTCCCCCAAGTTGGTGATCCCATGTGGATAAATGGACAAATCTTAGTAACTATCCAGAACACAGATGCCGTACCTCAAGACGATGAGTTTAACAAACATATTTCTATCAGAAGTGGAATGAATGATAAAGAATGTTTTCAACTGTTGAAGCATTACACTATTGAAAATGATGATGATCAATTGTTGAATGAAGTATCGCACGCATTAGATCGTCAACCGCTGGCTTTGGCTGCTGCTGGTTATTATGTCAGTCGTGTAAACAAAACAAACTGCTCATTTACTTGGAAAGAATATTTAAAGAAAATATCTTCAGAAGAACAAGAAAACATGGACGACACTTTTGTTAAATTTAACTCGATATATCCTAGAAGTATGTTACAAGCTTCACTTTTAGCTGTCAGACAAAATGCTGAAGAATCCTCAATATTGGCAAATGTTATTAACTTTTTATCCGTGATATCGTTTGATCCTATACCACGAGACATTATTGTTTTTTATGTTCAAGAAATTGATCCCAAACACTCAAAGGAAGATATATGCCTTTGTTTAAAGGATTGCTCATTGTTCTTGCAATCAGAAAATAATGACATTAGTCTACATCGCATTGTTCACAAAGCAATTATTGTTTATCAATCTGAACATTCAAATGAAAAACATGAATTTGAAACTAACGTTGATCAAATATCTAAAGCACTTTACATGTTTACAGAGAGAGACGACGAAATCAAATTAATGCCACATCTTGAAAAAATTGTTCAATTATTAAAGACCAACAAGACAAAAATCAACATGAACACTTTACAAGTTTTCCAATATTTTGTTCACAAATTAAGACATTTTGGAAAATACGATCTTGCTCTTGAACTATTGGATAAATTTAAATCAGAAGAATCTAGTTATGACAAAGCTTGGTATTTTAATATCCTTGGTCTTTTATACCATGACACTGGGAAGTATAGCAAAGCTAAAAATCATCACGAAAAAGCTCTGGAAATTAAAAAACAATCGTTAGATCCAAATCAAGTTGATGTTGCTACGTCTTTAAACAATCTTGGTAATGTGTTTAATAGAACTGGAAACAACAACAAAGCTATAGAGTATTATGAAAAAGCTCTGGAAATTCAAAAACAATCATTAGGTCCAAATCATGTTGATGTCGCTAGGTATTCAAACAATCTTGGTAGTGTGTATAATGATACTGGAAACTACGACAAAGCTATAGAGCTTTATGAAAAAGCTCTGGAAATTCAAAAACAATCGTTAGGTCCAAATCATGTTGATGTCGCTACGTCTTTAAACAATCTTGGTACTGTGTATTATGATACTGGAAACTACGACATAGCTATAGAGCTTCACGAAAAAGCTCTGGAAATTCGAAAACAATCGTTAGGTCCAAATCATGTTGATGTTGCTGCCTCTTTAAACAATCTTGGTAATGTGTATTATGATACTGGAAACTACGACAAAGCGATAGAGCTTTACGAAAAAGCTCTGGAAATTCGAAAACAATCGTTAGGTCCAAATCATGTTGATGTCGCTAGTTCTTTAAACAATCTTGGTAATGTGTATAATGATACTGGAAACTACGACAAAGCTATAGATTATCACGAAAAAGCTCTGGAAATTCTAAAACAATCGTTAGGTCCAAATCATGTTGATGTCGCTACGTCTTTAAACAATCTTGGTAATGTGTATAATAATACTGGAAACAACAACAAAGCAATAGAGCTTTATGAAAAAGCTCTGGAAATTAAAAAACAATCGTTAGATCCAAATCATGTTGATGTCGCTAAGTCTTTAAACAATCTTGGTAGTGTGTATTATAAAACTGGAAACTACGACAAAGCTATAGAATTTTACGAAAAAGCTGTGGAAATTCAAAAACAATCGTTAGGTCCAAATCATGTTGATGTCGCTGCGTCGTTAAACAATCTTGGTAGTGTGTATTATAAAACTGGAAACTACGACAAAGCTATAGAGTTTCATGAAAAAGCTCTGGAAATTAGAAAACAATCGTTAGGTACAAATCATGTTTATGTCGCTAGGTCTTTAAACAATCTTGGTTTATTGTTTAAAAAAACTGAAAACTACGACAAAGCTATAGAGCTTTATGAAAAAGCTCTGGAAATTGAAAAACAATCGTTAGGTCCAAATCATGTTGATGTCGCTACGTCTTTAAACAATCTTGGTACTGTGTATAGTGATACTGGAAACTACGACAAAGCTATAGAGTTTAATGAAAAAGCTCTGGAAATTCAAAACAATCGTTAGGTCCAAATCATGTTGATGTCGCTACGTCTTTAAACAATCTTGGTATGTGTTACATGAAACTGGAAACTACGACAAAGCTATAGAGTTTCATGAAAAGCTCTGGAAATTCGAAAACAATCGTTAGGTCCAAATCATGTTGATGTCGCTACGTCTTTAAACAATCTTGGTAATGTGTTTTATAAAACTGGAAACTACGACAAAGCTATAGAGTTTACGAAAAGCTCTGGAAATTCAAAACAATCGTTAGGTCCAAATCATGTTGATGTCGCTACGTCTTTAAACAATCTTGGTATTGTGTTTCAAAAAACTGGAAACTACAACAAAGCTATAGAGCTTCACGAAAAAGCTCTGGAAATTCGAAAACAATCGTTAGGTCCAAATCATGTTGATGTTGCTCAATCTTTGAACAATCTTGGTAATGTGTATTACAAAACTGGAAACTACGACAAAGCTATAGAGTTTTACGAAAAAGCTCTGGAAATTCGAAAACAATCGTTAGGTCCAAATCATGTTGATGTTGCTGCGTCTTTAAACAATCTTGGTAATGTGTATAATGATACTGGAAACTACGACAAAGCTATAGAGTTTCATGAAAAAGCTCTGGAAATTCGAAAACAATCGTTAGGTCCAAATCATGTTGATGTTGCTGCGTCTTTAAACAATCTTGGTAATGTGTATAATGATACTGGAAACTACGACAAAGCTATAGAGTTTCATGAAAAAGCTCTGGAAATTCAAAAACAATCGTTAGGTCCAAATCATGTTGATGTCGCTAATTCTTTAAACAATCTTGGTAATGTGTTTAATAAAACTGGAAACTACGACAAAGCTATAGAGTTTCATGAAAAAGCTCTGGAAATTCAAAAACAATCGTTAGGTCCAAATCATGTTGATGTCGCTACGTCTTTAAACAATCTTGGTAATGTGTTTATTGATACTGGAAACCACGACAAAGCTATAGAGTTTCATGAAAAAGCTCTGGAAATTCGAAAACAATCGTTAGGTACAAATCATGTTGATGTCGCTACGTCTTTAAACAATCTTGGTAGTGTGTTTAAAAACTGGAAACTACGATAAAGCTATAGAGCTTTATGAAAAAGCTCTGGAAATTCGAAAACAATCGTTAGGTCCAAATCATGTTGATGTCGCTAGGTCTTTAAACAATCTTGGTTTATTGTTATAAAAACTGAAAACTACGACAAAGCTATAGAGTATTATGAAAAAGCTCTGGAAATTCGAAAACAATCGTTAGGTCCAAATCATGTTGATGTCGCTTCGTCTTTATACAATCTTGGTAATGTGTATAGTGATACTGGAAACTACGACAAAGCGATAGAGTTTCATAAAAAAGCTCTGGAAATTCGAAAACAATCGTTAGGGACTAGTCAGATTAATGTCGTTAAGTCTTTTAAAAAATCTAGGTGTGTTGTATTATGAAACTCGAGAATATGACAAAGCTTTACAGTTACACTTTGGTAGCTACGTGTTTCAAAGAAATTGTGCCTTCTAAATTATGTTAAGCCTATTTTTAACACATAGACCGTAGGAGCAAGGCTTCCACCTGCCAAGTCAACTCCTCCCCTCAGAAGGTATTTTTGGTACTGAAAAAACGTTTCAGTTTGCATTTTGTGAGGTAAAATGAACCTAAAGATGTAATGGTCCTTGTCTATGTATAGTTTCACTGATATCTAGTCAATAAACTTACTCTACAGCCAGGAATCATCCTAAGTAAAACTTAGACCTGCCCATGCCCTGAATCTGACATTCTTTAGACTTTATTTCTAAAGTAATTTGCTTTTATGTCATAACCAAGTAGTAATTTTTATTGTATGATTTACAAACATACTAAAGTATATTGGGATGACAGATTTTGTTAAATAAATACTATCCTGTTAGTTGTTCATATTCTTTGATACATTCAGTAATTTTTTACCCAGTTCCATAAGCCTATGACCATATTCCAGGTTCCTATAATTTCCAAGGGGTACACCTTTCATACCATACATACCACCCCACCATGCTGCAGCCAATATTCCTGTACTGTCACCATCTCCACCATGAAACATAGAACAAGAACACAATTGAAACCAGGAATCTTTTGCCATCATCAAAGCATCGTAAGCAATCATTGGTGCATCATGACCACTGGATCCACCCCAACCTGCATAACTGACAGATTTATAAAAAGCATCACGTTCAGGTATGTTATATGTCACTGGAAACTTTGGTTCGCTGGTTCCATTCATTAATTCTCTTAGTTCAAGTTATGACTCCCAACTATTTTTAAGGTAGCCCCAAGATTTCTTGTTTTCTTCTACATCACGACCAACCTTCTCAATGTATTCCCAAACTTTGGGTAAAACACTTAAAAGTCCTGCTCCCCATTTTTTTGGAGCCATCTCTGTATAGCATAGGCCGTAAATAAAGCTGCAGTAACAGCGCCAAGATAACCTATAATTAAAATCATTATCTTTAAACATTGCTAATTTCTGGTCACTTACATTATGATGACCATATTAACATAATAACAGCATTTTGATATGGATCATGGATTGAATGGTTGTAGTAGTGAAGATATTAAAGCAAAACAGCAATGGCAATTCATACAGCTTTTGAAAGACAGAAATTTGGAAATGTGGAAAAGCGATAAAAGGGATGGATCAAAGATATGGTCATTTAAAGTGAGCAATGTTAGAAGGATGGAGGCATTTGAGATGTGGTTCTAGAAAATGATGGATTGCATAGACTTATGCAAACCTAAGGTCAACCTTCTTTTATTTCATTTATAAATTGATATTAGATAAAAGGATATGAAACATTCATGGTAATGGCTTGTTTAAGTAATGGAAGGAAGAGTTGAAGATAAAACATCTAAGAAAAGCAAAAGGATTGAAAAGCTAAATTACTATAAAGGTTTGTTAAAATGAAAAGCAGTGCAGATAACAGGAAAACCTAGCAAACTTTAGACAAACAACACTTGTTGATAGACAAAACACTAGACATTAGTGACTTGATAATTGATACATGATCTGAAATTGTTGCTTTATTATGAAAGGTGAATACCTGTGGGGTGATTATGAGTCATCCTTCCACTTTCAACAGCAATTTCAATTAACATTTCAATTTGATCTTCACAAGGAAACATCAAACCTATACACATGGATCTCATAGCTGCACCACATCCGCCACCTCGTTCATTAAATGGTATAATGTAACCTTTTTCCTCAAGAGGTTGTAACATGAAACATGACTTTGTTGTGGTCTGCCCAGGAGCTCTTTCCCACATATCCTCAGCACATGTCTTCTTGTACTTTGTAGCCATAATGCTCAATAACTCTTCCGTTGTTGTCCATTTAGAAACCAACGCTTCTGCTGTGGCAATGTGTAGTACAGTGTCGTCACTAACCCTCCATCCTTTAGTGTCAATTTTATTAAGTCCTCCGAGTTTTTCTAGTTCTTCATGAATTTGAGTACCACTGTAACAGAATTCCCACAAACCATTCTTATAACCTAGAGCATCTCCCACTCCACTGAGGACCATAACTGCTTCTTATTTCTCGGATAATTGGACCGTATTTTCAAGAGCCATTTTTAATATGTATACTTCACCGTAGTTTAATGAATTTTTTGAAACACGGGGAAAGTACTAAGCTTCCCTCAACTTAGTCAACTAAAACATAAAATCTTTTCTTTGCTTTGTTTCAATATTGTTTCATACTGTTTAGATTTAGACGAGAGCGTTGGGAGACTGGGACTGTTATTTTGTAATCCTTAATCTTTACCCCATTCCATGATCTTCAATCTGATTAACATGTTGCTTCTTGCAAAGATTCTTTAAAATTTAAAAGTTCCTTCCTTGTATCATGGATTATCCGACACGGATTTAATCCCAACTTGACAATTTTTTTGCACATACAACAATTTGTACAAACTTGACAAAATTTCAGCTCTTGGCAAATCCTCAGGTTTTATAATTTTATGGCACATCCCATTGTTATAAATATGTCACTAAAATTTAATTTTGTTACTGCATTAAGATTATTTCTCCCTTCACCTATAATATACACAACAAAATCACAACAGAACATTGAATTGTGCATCAAAATTTATTGATTGATTTACAATGTCTCGTAAGAATTATATATTCCACATGACAGCTTTCACATGAAGAGAGACCTAAATGAACATAAAAATTAAACTTAAAATCATAAATAACTGGACAGAGGGTTACCCTCTCTGTATGAGTGATAATGAAGAGAGAAAGAATCTGACAAAATATGGCCTAATTTGGGCATGCAAGGGGGGGTGGGGTTGGAGGAGTTACACATATTAACCTAAGAAAATGAAGACACAGGATTGTTTAATGTACCAATAGATATGAGAATGTGGACGGCTCAATATTCACGCTGTGATTGACAGAAGTTTCTCACCCCAGTCCTAATCCTCATCTTCATCTTCACCACCAGATCCACCTTGACCTCCTTTTTTTCATGTTCTTACGTTTTACACGACCAGTTTGACCTCCACCATATGGTGATTTAGAACTAAAATCAATGTGTTTCTGCGAATCCAAACGTACTATATAGGAAAGCACGTTTACTAACTGTTTACGAACCCTGAAATCAAAGAATTGACAATTGAAATGGGACTAGCCTTTCGCCAACATGATCAAAAGAGTTCCAGCAATTAAAATGCTTTTTAACTCATCAAAACTTCAATTCAACCTTATATGACGCTGGAAAATAAGAACTCTAGCATGATGGATAGATTTTGCCAGACCCAATTTGAAAACTTGAGTTTGAAGACGTCGCTCCAAGAAGTCTTCAATACGAAGGCCTAAAACATAATCGAGCTTCATGCGGCTTTCATCCAAAACCCCGATACGTACAAGACGACGTAGCAATGCGTTGCCTTCGAACAAACGACGCGGGTCTTTTTCGTCTAGAGTCAGCAACTCTCGAGCAGCTTTGCGAATCTTAGCCAAAGTGTATTTAACACGCCATACTTCGCGCTTATTTCTTAACTCAGACTACCCCGTTATCTTCAATTCTTGATCCAAGCGTTCTTTCTCAAAAGGATGACGAGGAGTCGTGAAAGTCTTCGAACAAACTGGTTTAGGCATCTTGACCACTTCAAGATGGCGTCGAAAAAAGAAAGAAGGAAGAAAAAGAGACGTGCTAATACCAGCGTGCACCGCGGGCACGCGATTGATTATTGGGAAATTTTACTGAAGAAATGTAAAATAAGAAAACGAAAGCGCTCTAAAATGAGTTAACAAAATGGCGACTTTCGTTGGAGCGATGAAAGTGCATTTGAAATTACCATCGAGATATTTGCTAACAACGTCATTTTTCAGAGCAACTAAGCACATATCGATTTGTAATTGTAAAAGGTAAATTATTGGGGTGCTATATGTCCTTAAATGCAGATTTTATTTGTGTAGGCAAGATGTCGACAAGTTGCAATTGTGCAATTGTTGTACTGCTTATGCCAATTTTTTGAATTCTTGTGGATCTTTTGGACTCGCTAGATTACCAGACTCAATATTCAACTAATTTTTCTTTTTCAGAACTGTTTCTCCACTCCTGCATCTACACATTTATCCTAAAAAGCATTACTCTTCATCATCAAGTGAAGAAATTTCAAAAGATGAACCAATAGCATTTTCAAAGTCTGCTGCGACAAATCATACAGTAAATGACACTTTATACTATGATAGTTGTCGACGAAGCTCCTTTACAGGACTGGTGATAACATTTGGCATGCTTTTTTGCATTATATATTTTGGATTTTTACGCCAGGAAGGTGAAACTGAACAGAAAATTTTTAATAAGATTCTTGAACTACAGAAATCAAATGCATCTGAAGAATCAGAGAATGATCCTGTTGAAAATAATACTTAGGAATTGTTCTAAATGTGGTTACGTGTGGATAATAAATGATACAGATGGACTTGAACTTGCTTAAACTTTTTACAAAATGTACCTATACATAACAATATTTTTAAAAAATCCAACAATGTTGTTTTTCAAGGAATTTTCATAATTCCGATATTGAATAACAATAATTGTAAAGTGGAACCATATCCATTCATGGACACTTTTATCACCTCGTAATCAAGACTATTTTAGAAAATGCAGATGTAAATTTCTTTAAATATATTTATTTGCATTTCAATAAAAAATAGCCTTACAGTGGAATATACTGAACACCAGGATTTGTTGTGGCTATTGCCCAAATTATATTAGAGATTTGACCTGTTAACAGGCCTAACTAAATAAAAGGTTTATTATTATTACACTTACGGTTTTCGACAAATCCTTGGCAGTTCGACGACAGACTACGATGAATGACAAATCTCATGCCAATTGTGAAGATGAAACGATCGGATGTTGAGCAAGGAGATTTGATAGCGGCGTGGTTTTCTCCATCATTGCGATTGATTGACCAGTCTTGATCTCAGCAGGAAAACTCCCAGGAAAATGTTTTAGAAAAGGCCATAATATTGACATTTCCATGAAAACAGGCGTTAGGCTGATGGATGCATTTCTCCAGAAGAGTGTTTAGCGTTTGCATTTTTTGTAAAGATGGTCTTTAGGGCATTAGAAGTCACGTATTTTTCAATTTCATCAAAGTATATCGTTCATTCTTGATCATTGTTCAGAAGAGTTCATTAAAGTATATTGTCCATTGTTGATCATTGTTCAGAGGTCTTCGTTAAAGTAAATTGTTCATTCTTGAGTATTCTTTATAGGACTTCATTAAAGTACACAGCCCATTCTTGATCATCGTTCAGAGATCTTCATTAAAGTATATTATATTGTTCATTCTTGAGCATTCTTCAGAGGACTTCATTAAAGTATGCTGTTCATTCTTGATCATTGTTCAGAGGTCTTCATTAAAGTACGTCTATTGTCCATTCTTGATCAGGTTTCTACATAGGACAATTGAAACCAATGTCAGTTCACACTACTATACTTCCATAAATGAAAAACATTGATAACATACTTACATTGAACATTTTATTCACTAGTAATGTAGTTCAAGGGAAGAAGAATTTCAACCAAATTACAGAATTGTATTTTGTTCTTATGTTTAGATGAGCGTCGTGGAACTGGTCGACAACAGCCACAATTCTCTTCAACCGCTGTGAACAATAACCACTTTCTTTAATTGTAGAGTCTACGATCATGGTAAATACACCAACATTTGTTCGTTGTTTCTCAATCTCATTTGATGACTAATTGTCGTTTAAGAGAAGAATGTCCATGTCTAAAATCAAGCATAGAGGAAACAAAAGTTACTAAGACGGAAACTTTATGGAAAGGCCACACTGCACTTTGCATTAATGAACATCACATGCAGTGTCCCAATTCAATGTTTACTCAATGCAAAAGAACTTGAAACAACACATTTACCTGAACATTTTTTCAAAGCACTCCAAGAGATATTTCACCGTGGAATAATTTCGACTTCGGCTAACTATTCTTCGTGCAACTACAGACTTTCACGTTCAAATGGCACGTTCTTAGTCTTAGACTATGGCCCAAGTTTCACGAACGTGTTGTATTCTGATTGGTCAGTGACTAGGCGTGTTGTAAACTTTTGTGTTCTGATTGGTCATTTACCAGGTGCGTCGTCAATTGTACATTGTGAAATTTAGAATTTGCATGATTCATCACTTAGAATTAATCCCCATAGAGCGGTAAATGCAATTTAATACAATATAAATAAAAACGTATACTTCAGCTACAGCAAATAGCAAATCCCAAACATTTAAGTCTCCTTGGGGAACAACTACAGCTGAATCGTGCAAATTCTAAAGGTCGACTGATGTCAAAAATGATTTGATAAACCCTCTAGATTGTTATCTTCATCTCATTTTCTTATTGTATTTATTAGCATTAAAATTTGATCTCTTTTAATTAGCATTCCACATAAAAACGACGTTTGGCAATTAAACTACTGTAAAATTTCGAAACCCAATCACTGTGCTAACCTCACTAGTGCATTACATTTTCAATGGAGGAAAATCTTTTGTGCTTGCATCAACGAAGCTAACAATGTTCCATGCACCTGTGGGCTTGGCGTAGTGACACACATTGAAATTATACAAAGGTCTTCAATGGTAAATGAAGGCTGACCAATTAGTTTTGCACACATCAAAGGAATGAACAGGATAGAAAAATATTATTACAATACTTTCATAAACTTACCTTTAGTCTTAGGGACTATTTATATGAGTCCGATAGCCCGGATTCAGCGAACGAACATGTAACATGTAACATGTAACATGTTCTTACATAAACTTTCGGCAGTTATTTCAGTAAGCAGTAAAGATACAAACGATGGACATAAAAGCAGCTAATATTGGAGGCAACAATTCGCCAAGAGAAACCCGACCTTGTGCAACGAAAATTTCCGCAATGCCATTCTGTAACGGTCCTTATTTCGTTAACGTCTTTTTTGACTTCTTGAACGACTTTTTCAAAGAGCTTTGCAAAAAATAATCATGTATTTAACGTAAAGATCTTTGATAAACCAGCAATTGTCAAACCTCTGGTAAAAAAACCACCATGTACAACAAAAACTTCGGCAATGCCATGTTTCTCCGTCAACATCTTTTCTGACTTCTTGAAAGACTTTTCCCGACAGCTTCGAAAAATGAATGAGGAATGAAGTATAAAGTTTGACTGAGGAGGAAGCAGCTGATATTTTAAGGTAAAACTGATATAAATTTTGGTAAAAAAAAACGTAACTCTTCAACGGCCATCTTCGTTTTTTCGAGTTTAGAAACGACTTTTTGCAACAGCTTCAAAGAAAGAATCATGTATTCAACAGGTTTAACTTGTTGTGATGTTATAAAATATTGTGAAAATGGATTTGAAAGGCGGAAAGCGAATTCTTAGTACAAATATAATCGCCCATCATAAAACTTTTAATATGGCCATGGGTATATAATTTTATCAACAATAACGTTTCGTCTTTAGCTGAAGACATCTTCATATTACAATACATACATGTAGGAAGTAGTAAATCCTATTCTGAGAAATTTTGTACAATATTTACAATAACGACTGTATGCGTTACGCTTCTTCTCTGAAATAAAAAGGTTATATTACTCACTGTAATACTTTGAAACTTACAAATGAAATATTTTACGTAATACTTACGATAAAGATTGTTTCAGCAAGAAATCTCTTTACATAGCGCGGGAAAGATCGGCAAAAGTCATATGACGTATTGATCAAAATTGGTCACGTGTCAAGTCGTATAAACATTCGTCAGCAAGAGCTGGGTGACGCGGGATATGTAAATTGATCAAATCGTGCTGAGATAGCACAACATTTAATAGCATAGTAGGTTTCGTGTGATGTATTTAATATACGATTGTTTTCATTTCAAGTTAAATATTATGTTTTAACTTGTTAAAACCCAGTATGATGTACTATTATATAGTAGCAAATACTGACAAATTATATCTGTGTACAACACATACAATAAAGAGTCCTTGAAGTTGATGCATCAGGAAATTCTTCTACTTTGTAGACATATTATATTTATATATACTGAACTATATGTATGTTATATATATACAATAGAACTTATACAATTTCTATGCTCTGTTTTTTTGACAGACATCCTACAATTTTACATTTTAACCATTATGTGCAGAAGGAACAGTTTGTTTTGTCGTTGTCGTCGTTGAAACAGATGATACCGTTGAAGTTTGCCTGTAAAATATTTGCTGAAAGTTTAGAGAAAAATTGATAAACTATTCATGAAATAATAGGTAGTAGCATTTTGATTTTCTTTCTAAAACAAGCCAAAGTTTGAGTTCTTTGTGTTGTATTATTACGAAATAAAAGATTTTTACTGTGTTTTCACGGGCTTATATAACCGAGGAGACCTTTGGGAGAACTCAAGAGCAGATCAGTGAAGGTCAAGGTTTGCACCTGCTCGAGAGTTCTCACAAACGTGTCTGAGGTTTGCATAAGCCAGTGCAAACAGGAAAAATATCTTTTTAAAAAATATCAATAATGCGAAACAGACAAATTTAAAACAAACGTTTTAATTTTTCCTCTAAAATGTATTCATGATTGATTTGCGAATTCTCTTTGATTGATTTGATTTGTTGAGCTCAGATCGGTTTGCACAAGCTAATGCACTATAGACCAATCAGCGCATGATTGCTTTATGTTCTTGTTTTGACTTTCAATTTTTCTGTCTATTCTTGCCTTACAAACATTAACACTAAAAATCGTTTAATATTCTGTATATTGAACAATAAATTACACTCAAACATGATCACGTGTTTACTCACATGAAAAGATCACGTGTTTACTCACATGAAAAGATCACGTGTTTACTCACATGAAAAATGGAAAGTATTTGAACAAAGAACTCTTGCAAGGATTTTCACCTAACTCTGGAACAGCACCCAGACTATAATTGATCAATTTTCTCAAGTAATTTTCCAATTGTTTTCGACGTGTTTCCACAAAATTGACGTCACGATTTCCAATAATTTTCTTCGCGGGAAACGTGAATTGTGCAACAGGTTTAAACTGCTTGCTTGTCTGTGCATAAAAGGAAAAGGAAGGGATTGTACATTACGGCAAAACAATATGATTAAAAATTAAAATACTGATGTTTATTAAAACCTTCTTATGTAGGGCATAAAATCCGAGTATCTTTTGTAAACATTCCATTCATCGTCTTTGATACGGATATAAACCTTGTGAAGTAAACAATGTTAAATTCTTTATTGACGACAATAACTGGACCACTACGCAGATGCTATATATATGTATATGAGCACTGTGGTGACTCTACAATACAATCCATACAATGTGTAACCGTACGTCCTGTGTCCCAAGTGCAGGAGTCACCATTTTAATATGGTGATAGCCGGGAGGGCACATTGTATATACACTTTGTGTATATATAACAGTATAAAACAGTATAAGTCCGCATAAAACAGTGCTCGATGCTCGAGAGCAGAGCGTAAATATGTTTAGTGGTGTTGAGAAAAAATCACAAAATTACAGATTCATCCCGACAAGCCTGTTTCGTGATTAAAGGAAAATCCCCTGAAGAGGGAGCAGTCACGAAACAGGCTTGTCGGGATGAATCTGTAGTTTTGTGATTTTTTCTCAACATCACTAAACATATACATATGAAAAGTGAAATATTTGAGCAGTAAATTTAAACTACGACATGATCTTTTAAATACGATGACCACAAACACTTTTCTCAAGGGTGATGTATTTGAAACGAGGAAAATACCAAATATAGATCATAAATCTTGAAATATAGTCCCTAGTTATCCCTAACCTAGTCCAGATAACCATCAACATCACATCGGAAGAGTTATTTACTTTTTTTAGAGATAAATATATGGAAAAAATTATACCTGATAAGAATGGTGAATGTTTGGAGACTTTCCTTGTACAAAAACAGATGGAATCCAAATGTTAATTAAAGGACGAGTATTGACAGACATGAAATTTGGACCAAACTCCGTCAAATATAAACATTCATCATGATTATTGTCCTGAGGAAGCTAGAACATTCGAAGATACGTAGTTTTATTAAGAAATATTTAGAAAATCAAAAGAATATTTACTGCTTTTCATATTCATATCAAACAGTTCATATTGTACATACAGATCAATATTGTACATCTATTGTACTATAATGAACACACGGGTCTTTACTGAACATACCGGTCCTCTAAGATTGACAAGCTCTTCTTTTAATATTCTTAGCTGACATTCACGAACATTCAACATTTTTTGTAGTCTTTCATTGAGTTCAATAAGTTCGCCATGCATATCAGCGACCTTTAAACATGATAAACAACATTTCATCACAACTTACGCCATAACGCCATCACCATGAAATTCCTCAGAGATGAACAAGAAACGCGAAACCAGTCAAAGTGGCGAGCTTTTTTAAACATATATCACGATTTCATTTCAGTTATTTATCCTCAGTTTTCATAACTTAAAATATCTTCTTGTATTAGATATTTCTTAAAGTCATCGTGTGCATCGTATAAAAGAGTTTTCTATCAAATAAATGTCGGCTCATCTTCATGAAGCATATGATACCTGAAGACCTTTTAAGGCAAATGTTTCGTTTTGTAAAAGTATTATGGTTTAATGGAAATCTTACTTGGATCAACTTCCGCTCAAAATCTTTGTTTTCTTCCTTTCTACAAGAAAAAGAAACGAAATTCAACGCCGTTGATTCACTTTTGCTACAAATTTACGGTAAATACCTCACTTCGTCGACGTCAGATTCCGGAGAAAGAATGATAGAAGAAAGTCTTTCATTTTCTGGAGCTACACAAAAGATTATCGAATATCTTAGACTTCTACATCTATTTTAAAGATAAACTATCCCTCTAGTAAACCTTCTTCCATAATGTCATTTCTTTTCAACGATTGAACAGCACCCACGTATTTCTTTAGTTGGTGTTTGAGCAAATCATTTTCACTAAAGAGCAAAAACGAACAGGTCAACAGACATCTTTGATTAACGGAAATGCAGAGTTCTCAATGTCCTAACCTTTTAAGCCGTTAAGAGCGACGCAATTTTCTTCATTTTCGACGACATATCTCTTTTAAATCTTCTAATTGAAGACGAAGAGAAGCTGACTTCATCATCTCTTTTCCAAATGTTGTTGTAACGATCTACAGGAAAGATGATCGAAGGAAAAATCAGGGCAAAATAGTGTATATTCGAATGGAATGTTAATATTAAACGAAGGACGATAATACAACCTGTTACGTTCTTCAACTTCATCTTTTCTTAACATCATCGATACAATCGCCTGTTTTAATTCCTCTTCAACAATAAAAAACCACGTATTTATTGATATTCATGAAATTATAAATATTCACACATACAAATATTCAGTTCACATGATGAAATTTGACGGATGTCTACAAACAAACAAAGCAACTACGATACAAATAGTAAAATCCAATTGCACCAAACATTTCTATATTTAAAACTAACTCTACCTGCTAATAGGCCATTTATAGTTTGAGAGCCTGAGGCAAAAGTGCCTCTCCCGTTCCCAAAACATTTTTCCAAAAGATATAAGAAATAAAAACCATTTAAATACATAAATAGAAAAAACACACAAACCTGAAGTCATTTCTTTGCCTGATGGATATTCCTCTGATGGCTAAAGAACGAAAACATACCAAATATAACGAACTAAATATAACAAAGATATTTACACATGGCTTTCTACCCTCCCCTGAAAAAGATAAAAGCATTTCATAATTAACTAACATTCATACAACCATCACCCATGGTTCTGACCAATGACGATCCTGAGTAATCATTAATTTCTATGCTACCATCACGTGTGGCACATATCGCTGCAACAGTTGCTCCAATTGCTAAACTTGCATCATTCTCGACGTCTTCATCAGTGTAAATACTGAAAACAACATAAATTACCACCTCCGTTAAAATGGTGAACTCGTTAGACATTCTTCTCGATAAAATAATGAAGTATCTTCTAACCTTGAAACGGGAGAATCATTTATTGAATGAACTAAATGTCGCGACGTCTCAGGTGCAACAGTAAATCGCTCATTTTCATCTGACATAGCTAGACTCCTAACTCCTTTATCGTCATCGGGGCAAACTACGGGAATTAGAGATACACCGCTGTTCATATCAACAAGAGGCTCACACACTTCTTCCTCCGACAAGAGCGATGAGTCAGTGTAATGCCCTGATTGCAAAGATGTTGTCAAAGAATGATTTTTTTTCAAATCATTCGCAGTTTTAAACTCGTCTTTAAGATGCAGAACTTCCTGGCTTTTCTTTGTTAATCGAGCCACTTGTTCATCTGTTTCATTCTCCTTGTTCTCAACGTTGGTTTTCGCCATTGTGGAAGAAAGACTTGAATTCTCAGAATTCGAACAATAAGCCAACTGAGAGTTCTTTGGCATTTCAAGAAAATCGTCAGGCCTTTTAGTGAAAGCATGGTTACCACGAGCATGTACCTGAGAATCAGTATTACGTTGTAATATATCTTACGCCGCTCGGGTAAAACTCGTGGCACTATCGTGAGCAGTCGTTGTCGTGGAAGAACTACCATGAGAACTGACAGTAGAAGTTCCTTCTTCCGTCTCTTTGAATTCAACATTTTCAATTTGCGCAATGTTTGCTTTCTTTTTTTTACGTTTTTTCTTTTCTTTTCCTGAAACACAAAAGAAAGATAAAAGTTACAAATTAATAAAGACGCTTGGGGATAAATGACTACGCATTGTTCAAGTATGATAAAGAATAAATGAGGACGCGCGGTTAAGGGATGATAAGGGATGAATAAACAACAGGTATAGTTAAGGGATAAATGAAGACATGTAATAATGGGATAATAAAGGTTAAGGAGAACGCATGGTTGGGGGATTATAAGGAATAAATGACATGTGTGGTTAAGGAATGATAAGATTAGCGATATATGAGATGAATGGTAGGGATAATTAGGGATAAAAGGGATATTTTTGATCCGGGGAGAAAATAAAATTCTGATCAAATCTTTATTTTCTTAAAATGTTGTATTTAACAAACTTCACCAGGAGCTGCTGACGTTGCATACATTGGTGATGGTACAGCCCATATTGATGTTGGACGAGAAACTGCTTGGCTGATATTTCCTGGAATCTAAAAAATAAATTAAATTCAAGTAGTTAAAGAAAAGTACATTCATAGCTTCCACTTTTTTACTATCCATTTCTATTTGCAAAGATTCATTTTTAAACAATATCAATAGCATTCCAGCATACCTGTACAGTAATAAAGTTAAACTCAGCTTTGTCAATGTCAATTGCAAAAAGAATTGAACTTAAGCCTTAAAGAAGAAACACAGAATGATAAAAAATCCATTATAGAAATATAAACAAGTTTATTCTTACCAGCTGCCATCATTGGTAACATACTAGATCGTTCATCATCCAATAATAATGCATCTTGCTCATAATACTGACTGAAATTAAAACAATTACACATCGTATAATTATTCTGACATCAACAGCTTACCGTTAAAAAAAATTGCATTACTATATCGCATTATACATTGGTTATGATAATCATATAGCTTCTCAAGCCAATATTGATCTTTCTTTCTTAAATGTTACTTAAATCAAACTTACAAAAGCAACTGTTTATGCCCAATGAAGCTATGAAGATATTTCTCCAGTGATTGCTCGTTTAAACTAGACCTAAGCCATGCTTGAGCTGTCAAATAAACATCAAAATAGAAAGAAAAATGTCAGAACAAATTCATGGCATACAAAAGGTTTTACCCACAAACATTCCTGGAATCATTTAGAAACCAACAACTTGACTAACCTCTACCAACATCTGTCATTACATTATGTAAAGAATTATATGTCTTTATTTCACTAGAGCTAAGATGTTCCTTGATAAATAGCCAGAACACAGATTGACCTTCAGATCTCATTAACACCTGCCTTTAATGAACATAGAAATGATGAAAACAAATTATTTAAGAATGGCTTCTAAATTGACTGAATTGAGAGAGGAATGATGAAGATACCTTAAAGAATTTATCTTTTTTGTGGATTTAATGCCAAATTGAAGAACAATGTTCCATTGCTCACAAAGACAAGAGATTCTGTAATTTATCATAAATACAAAGATTATGATAAATAAGGATTATACTATGAAATAAAATGAATACAATACAATGCAATCGAAGAAATATCAAGTTCACCTGCTATCCTTCTCAGAAGCCAATTCGGTTGTACTACCAAATCGTACCTGACACTAAAGAAACGACGAGGTTCAAGTCGACCAAATCATTCGAGTAAAATCAATACAATAAAAGACGAAACGAAATTACAAGTTCCAAGTTCGAACTTTAAACTACGTACAAATATTTTAAAACTAACTTGCTTTACTCCATCCAACAAGCGATCAATAATTGCTTGCTTTGTAATATCTACACTTGCCAAGTTCAACATATTCTCCACTGAACTAACATATAAAAAAAATAAATAGTTTCGTTTGTCGGACAATTAGAAAAATAATTAAAAATAATTAGGCATTAACAAAGTATGTATATACGAGTACCTTATGATCGCTTGATATCACCACATATCAACTTTCACCAACCATGCTAGCATGAAGAAAGTTATGAGAAAATACAAAGTGTTTTCTACATGTAAAAAATATCCACGATACACGACAGTATTATTGAAGCAGTTCACAAAAGAAGACAAATCAAGGAAATTTACCATTATGGCAACGGAAATGATGTAAATGAAATATTGGAGGCAAATGGCAGGATGTCACAAAGAGAGGGGGAACGTTGATGGCGGGTGGGGATGAGAGAGTTAGAATACATAAATATTTACCCCCCACCCCAAGTAACGTTCTACTTTCACCCCTGGCTGTATTAAAACTAACAAAATTCTGTTAAACCAAATACCCCATGTCGTCATTGACGGTAATTACATGTTTGTAGACGTAAATCGTCCAGGTTAGAGTAGAGTCGTGAGGAATGTTGATATCAACTGTCTCAGAAGCAAGTGAGAAGATAAGTATGACATTATCAACAACACCAACAGTCTTTCTAAAGGCTCTACTAACTTCGACGATCTACATCTTCATTAGTATCTATTCAGAATAGATGTTAAAATTGCTTTCATTTGTTTAGCAAATTCAAAGAAGGTTTTATACAACAATGAATTCTGATACAACATACAAATCATCTGGATCAAGAACATTTGGTAGACTCAATTTTGATAATCTTGGAAAATCCATTTCTTCAATAACCTTCCACTCTTCCCGAACCATCACAGATGCATTACGTATCCTCTGAGGAGTCTACATATAAGTTAAACATATAGATATAAAATTAAAGTATATCCATAAGTGTACCAGTCATGTTACTATATATTTATTATGTATCCTCTGAGGAGTCTACATATAAGTTAAATATATAGATATAAAATTACAGTATATCCATAAGTGTACCAGACATGTTACTATATATTTATTACGTATCCTCTGAGGAGTCTACATATAAGTTAAATATATAGATATAAAATTACAGTATATCCATAAGTGTACCTGTCATGTTACTATATATTTATTATGTATCCTCTGAGGAGTCTACATATAGGTTAAACATATAGATATAAAATTACAGTATATCCATAAGTGTACCTGTCATGTTACTATATATTTATTATGTATCCTCTGAGAAGTCTACATATAATAGCCGTGTGGTTGCCGGCTTAGAATTGCGCCAACGTATCCTCTGCGTGTCGTAAAAGACGACTAAAAGGGGTTGGTGTAAGGAAGGGCATCCTACCGTAAAACTTTTGCTCCAACAAAATTCATGGACTTTGGAAAGAAGATATGGCCCCAGTCCCGGCAGCCCTTCAGTGGGCAGGGGTGCGAAGAATCTCGGATCGAATGGTTGTGGAAGTGTCACCCTTCGGGTAGGCACAGTGAACGTTGGGACAATGAAGGGAAGGAGTGCAGAAGTGGCGGACATGTTGAAGAGAAGGAAAGTTGATGTGTGTGGGTTTCAGGAGGTAAGGTTTAAAGGTGAAGGTACGAGAGTCATAAAGGGTGAAGATAATGGGCGAGATTTAAGTGGTTTTGGAAGGAAACGGAAGTGGCACGAATGGTGTTGGCTTTGCGATAAGAGAGGATTGGGCGAAGTCAGTTGTAGCAGTGAAGAGAGTTTCGGACAGAGTCCTGAGAGTTGATGTAGTTATTGAGGCCGAAGTTGTGAGTTTCGTTGTTGTATTGGAGGTGCGGAGGGAGGAAGGAAATGTGCAGGAAAGGAGGGCGATGTGTGATGGTGATTGGAACGGTCATGTGGGAAGCGTAAGGAAGGATAGTGGATGTGAATGAATGGAAGGCGAGACGATAGGAGTTGTGGGATGGTGGTAGTGAATACGTGGTTTATAAAGGAAGCAAGCTTGTGACGTATGAATCTGGTGACAGTAGGACGGTGGTGGTGGTGAATGAAGAGAGGAAAACGTGAAGGATGCAAAAGTGATTGCAGGAGAAGAATGTGACCCAGCACAAGCTGCTGGTCATGGACTGGAGAATCAGGAAGGAAAAAGAAAGGTTGAGGTAAAGGCAGGCTTAAGCTATGGAAGTTGATCGAATGAAGGAAGCAGTGTTTCCGTGACGAAATTACGACATTGAATGTTGAGGTGAGACGGTGGAGGAGCGATGGACGTGCTGGAGAAGGGTGTTTTAAAGGCAGCGGAGAAGGTATGTTGTAGAAGTAAAGGCGGTGTAGTAGAAGAACAGGCATGGTGGTGGGATCAACGAGTCAGCGAAGTGATTGGCGCGAAGAAGTTGGCATTTAAAAGGTGGAAAGTCGCGGACTGAAGCAGATAGGATCGATTACATCCGGATTCAAGAAAAAGGCGCGAAAGGAGGTGGCTAAAGCGAAAGAAAGACATCAGAAAGAGCTTCGTAAAATGCAGGAGAATGGAAGAAAAGCGTTGTTTAGAACTGCTAAGAGAAGGAGAGGAACGATATTTTGGTGCTCCGGCGTGCAGAACCACGATGGGGAGTTGAAGGTGTTATTGGAAGACAGGTTAGAAGTGTGGAGGGCGTACTGTGACCGTTTGATGAATGTAGAGAATGAGTGGAATGGAGAAGTTGAAGCGGATGAAGTTTTGGGCCGTGGGAAATAGTGACTGTTGATGAGGTGGCGGCTCTGCGCAAGATGAAGAAAGGAAAGGCGACGGACCGAGTGAAGTGGGTAGCGAAATGTTGGACAATGAACTATGCGTGAGAGTTGTGTAATGTAGCGAACGAGGTTTTGAGGGCTCAAAGATGCCGAGTACATGGAGAAAGAGTCTAGTGGTCCCGCTGTACAAAGGAAAAGAACAGCGACGGTATGTGGGAATTACAGGACTATTAAGCTGATGGAGCATGCGTTGAAGATAGTAGAGAAGTGTTTGAAAGAAGGTTGAGGAAGTTGTTCGGATGGGGAAGAGCAGTATGGATTCATACCGGGAGAGGAACGACGGATGCGTGTTGTGGAGGGCTGCAGGAAATTTTGGAGAAGGACAGAGAATTGTATATGGTGTTTGTAGATTTGGAGAAGGCGTTTGATAGAGTTCGAGAAAGGTGATCGAGTACGCGCTGCGTAAGAAAGGTGTGACAGAGAATATGGTTCGGGCAGTTATGGAGACTTATGAAGGTGTAGAGGCGGTGGTTACGGAGGAAGGTGCTAGATCTGGTGTTTTGAGGTAAAGTTGGTGTTCATCAAGGTTCAGTCTTGTCGCCGTTACTGTTTGCTTGTGTGATGGATGTACTGACAGAGGAAGTGAGAAGAAAGAAGGATGCTGGTGTTTGTTGTATGCAGATGACATTGTCTTGGTGGTGGAGTCGAAGCAGAAAGTTCTGGAATGGTACCGAGAATGGAAAACGGCAATAGAAGTCAAGGGACTGAAAGTGAATGAGGCAAAGACGAAGGGCATGAGATGCTCGAGGCAGGTGGAGGTGAAGGACAGTGATAAATGGCCATGTGGTGTGTGTGGGAAAAGAGTTGGAGTGAATTCGATAATGTGGGAAATGCGGTAAGTGGGTTCATGGAAGATGTTCAGGTGTCCGTGGTGCATTGACAAGAGTAACTGATTTTGAGTGCGGGACGTGTCGAAGTGGTGGGCGAGTCGCGATTGAACGGTTTGAACTGGGTGACGTGAGTTTGGAAGGTGTATCGGAGTTTAAATATCTGGGCGATGTGTTAAATGATGGTGGAGGGTGCGAGCAAGCGGTGAGGAACAGAGTTCAAGCAGCGTGGTGGAGTTTAGAGAGTTGTCGGGAATGTTGTGCGGAAAGTCGACTTCGTTGAAGCAGAAGGAGAATTGTATAAGGCATGTGTTAGAAGTGTTTTGGGATATGGAGCAGAGTGTTGGGCGAAAGCAGAGGACCTGAGAAGATTGGCGTCGACGGAAAGGAGAATGCTTAGGATGATGTGTGGTGTAACGTTGATGGATAGGATTCGAAGTGAAGAGATTAGAGAAAGAGTTGGTGTTGAGTGTATCGAGAATTGGGTGCGCCAGCGTTTGAGGTGGTTTGGGCATGTGGAAAGGAGGAAGAAAGGGCTGAAATTCGTAGAACGTTGCATATGAATGTTGATGGAGTCCGCAAACGAGGTAGACCGAGAAAGAGATGGATGGATGCTGTGAACAGTGATATGAAGGCGATGGGTATAACGAGAGATATGGCGAGAGATAGAGACGTGTGGCGTGGAAAAATTCATGGACCGGTCAACCCCCCTGGCGGGGATTAATACTGGCCGGTATATAAATGTTGTTTGTTTGTGTGTTTGTTTGTGAGAAGTCTACATATAAGTTAAATATATAGATATAAAATTACAGTATATCCATAAGTGTACCTGTCATGTTACTATATATTTATTATGTATCCTCTGAGGAGTCTACATATAGGTTAAACATATAGATATAAAATTACAGTATATCCATAAGTGTACCTGTCATGTTACTATATATTTATTATGTATCCTCTGAGGAGTCTACATATAGGTTAAACATATAGATATAAAATTACAGTATATCCATAAGTGTACCAGTCATGTTACTATATATTTATTATGTATCCTCTGAGGAGTCTACATATAGGTTAAACATATAGATATAAAATTACAGTATATCCATAAGTGTACCTGTCATGTTACTATATATTTATTATGTATCCTCTGAGGAGTCTACATATAGGTTAAACATATAGATATAAAATTACAGTATATCCATAAGTGTACCTGTCATGTTACTATATATTTATTATGTATCCTCTGAGGAGTCTACATATAGGTTAAACATATAGATATAAAATTATAGTATATCCATAAGTGTACCAGTCATGTTACTATATATTTATTATGTATCCTCTGAGGAGTCTACATATAAGTTAAATATAGATATAAAATTACAGTATATCCATAAGTGTAGTCATGTTACTATATATTTATTATGTATCCTCTGAGGAGTCTACATATAAGCAATATATAGATATAAAATTACAGTATATCCATAAGTGTACCAGTCATGTTACTATATATTTATTATGTATCCTCTGAGGAGTCTACATATAAGTTAAATATATAGATATAAA